ATTAAAATTTTAAATTATTATCATATATGTTAATATATACATATATTCTGTATCATGTATAAAACGGATTAAACCGATCAAACCGAAATCCGATCAACGAATCTCAAACCATTTGTTTCACCGACCCAACAATTTAAACCGATTTGACAATTTATATATATAGCAGCCTCATCGATATGTCTAGGGTAGTGCTTTACATTTGGTTTTGTTTTTATATATGGACATATGGTGTCTAATCGGATGCGGCCGTACGACTTGGAAGGGTTGCTTTCTTGTTAACCGTTTTTAGTCATATGGAGTCATTATGTAGATGATGAATTTAAATATGTAATGTCGGATCTTCATCCACCATTTCTAATGCTCGAATCCTATTCCTAGCTAATGGATCTGCAGTACTGTGGCTAATTAACTTCAGCATCTATAATGTATATATGTTGTAAAATGTGGCATATAATTAGAATAAAATGTTACATTTATGTGGGAGTTTTTATCAGGCGTACAGAAACATTATAAACCCATATTATATGGTATATCTTCTCTTGTGTTTGAGTTCTTTGTCTCTAATGACGAGGAACTAACTGCTTAGCTACCTATGGATGAACCCTAGAATGCTTTGCCTCGATTGATTGGGTTCTTAATATGGATTTGATGAATTAAGTTCTCTTTTAATGAATGATGAACTTTATTACTAAGAGAAAAAGAGGAAGTACAACACAAAAAACGAACAACTTTACAAGTAAGAAGAAGAAAATGAGAAGAAGAAAAAAAGGGTTGGCAAAGCAATGCCGAAACACAAAGAGAAACAAACAAGAACCAGTATGGGAACTTCCAAGACCGGTGACAAACAACTAGAACTAACAATAAAAGAAACACAAAAACAATGGTAATGCCCTTGAACATCAAGACTCCAAACAACACTTATACACCAAGACACAACCAAAAAACAAAACAAAACAAAGGAACAACCATCAACCATCCCCAATCCTCACACATTGTTGAATTAAGTTTTCATTTAGAATCTATTTGTGATCGCAATGGAACGTTCAAAATAGCCACAAGATCTCGGTTATACCTCTCCCAAAGAGTTGAATTCTAAAGTGAGATCGGCTGATTCTTAACGATTATGATGTCAATATATGTATGTTACCGTATCAAATAGTTGTATCCTTACAAATTGACTACATCCATTATTATGGTCCTGGTGGTGTCATTGGAATATTGAACTGCACACCAGTTCATCGAATCAAATCCTGCTGTGGTAGAGGAAAAAAGTGCATATAGGGAGAAAAGCCATCATATATGGTAGGAAGAGAGAATATCTTTCCCAATGTTCTACCAAGTATGATAAAAAAAACCCTCCTTCACTTTTGTTATTGATGTGCCACGACCAGAAATCTAGAAGGATTCACATCCCTCTTTTCAAAGTGTGGATCGAATTGATCAAGAAGTGATTCATTCACCTCAAACTAAACTGTCTATCTTTATCTCACAACAAACAAAACAACAACTCGTAAGAAATCTATTCCCTTTCTGAATGACGGCTCACGATTAGGTTTTATTTGTGTTATGTGGAAAGACGTACGTAGGAGACTTATAGCAAAATATTCCCACAAATACATTTTCATTATTGGAGTTGATGGGGGAAAAGAATTTTGTTATGGCCACATAAGGGGAAGGGAACCATTCGAGATGTGGAAAGGAAAGGAGAATAAAGAGATATATAGAGTGATTGATAGAAGGATTGACAGAAAGAATTATTGGTTTGTATGTTTATATACTTTTTCTGCCCACCATTTGATGTTCTTGTTTTTCATATTTTTATAGTAATGTATGGGCAATTGTTAAGCAAGCCAATTTTTCTCGTGTTAACAAAAAGTGGCGTAACTGGTAAGGTATGTATCTGGCATGGTAGACGTTCGACTGTTTTTTGAGTGAAATGCTTTGCTGGAAACTAACATACCTATCCATTCTGCATAGTTGCTTTCTTGTGAGTTCCGGCCCCTCCTTTTGTGCCTTGCTTGTGAAAAAAGGTTGGCTCTAACCTCTTAGTAGAATTTAGCTTAATCATTCTTAACCCTCTTTCTCAAGCCTTACCCACTGGGTAACGAAAAAGTCACAAGTCATGAAAATATGCCTCTATCACGGAGCAAAAATAACTTAGTTCTAAAGGAGAGGAGTGAAGGAGCTCATGTCTTTGAAAAGCCTAATTTTTAGATCTATCTCGTGAACTTATTCATACTTTAGGACTTGAGATCAAGATGATCAGATGATCAGGCCTCATGAGTCAGTCTGCTAAACTTACATGCGACGAGAACGACCTAAACATATGAGTCGAAACACTCCATATATACATTTCTTTTATTTAGCTAGGATTTGAGGATGAAAGAAAATGGATAACCATTGAGCTTCTAAGAGCTAGGCTCTTTTTTTTCCCCTTCTTCATATGTAAACAAATTAAAGGGAGTTTTGGTGTAAAAGTGAAGTTCAAGGCCCAAAAAAGTTCTTACATTTTTAGGGTTGGTTTGTCAGCTCAAATCAAGGATGTGTCATCCACAAATATTATTAATCTCCAGTTCAGAGGATTTGGACGATCATGCATACGTACCATACACCATGAGCATGATGTCATACATAGTAGAATGCTTATTGGTGGGTCCATGCAATGTAACCTTACGATGGATTTGAAAAATAAGAGTTTTAATAAATTTTGTGTTTTCAAAAATCCTAGATTTATAATGGATATTTTGGTATTGTTATAAACGCGCTGTTACGGATCGGGATCGTCGGAATCAACAAAGCAAGAATACGAAAGTGAGAATCGAAAAACACAGACACACGATTTACGTGGTTCACTAACACGATGTGTGTTAGCTAGTCCACGGGCGAGAGAGAGCCAGCTTCACTATATCGAGGAGATTACAGATTACAGAGGACTATGAGAAGTATTTATAGTACTTCTCCATGTGGGTCTAAACCTAATCCAATATGGCAAAGGAAACGGTTACAGACCAGGCCCAGCGAGACCCCCGATTACCAGTCGTAGCGGCTGATAGTCCGATTCAAGTCATATCAACAAATCTCCACCTTGACTTGAATCCTCTTCCTCTGAAATCTCTGATGTACTCTGCTCCTTCTCTCTCTCCCGCCATCAATGCCCTGTAGGGCGGAGTCACCCACTCAAGACATTCAGCAAGTCCAAGTAGTGTTGGAACTTGCCATGTGGAACCGGCTTCGTGAACATATCAGCAGGATTATCCGCGGTGCCAACCTTCTTCACCTTAATCCTCTTCTCTGTCCTCAAGAAATGATACCTCACATCGATGTGCTTAGTCCTCTCATGGTGGACTTGATCCTTGGCCAAGCATATTGCACTCAAACTGTCGCAATACACCACTGCCTGATCATGATGTAGACCCAGATTATGATGTAGACCCCCGATTACCAGTCGTAGCGGCTGATAGTCCGATTCAAGTCATATCAACAGGTATTATTAATTCACAAGAGTTTATTGTTTACTTATTGTATTTTAATATAAATTTTACTTGATCAGATTTGTAAGTACGATGGATTTTTAGTACTCATCCAATTCCATTTCTAGCCATGGGATTTTACAATTTTGTGCGCCCACTTGAACCCTTAAATCCGTGTACTCTACAAATTTTACTCTCCTAATATTGATTAACAAACAAAAAAAAAATTGGGATAAATCCATAATGAATTGGATTTGAGATCCAAATTCATCACTAAATTCACGAGCATACATCCATTTGAAGGATTTTGAATATGGAAGTAAAGTTTATTATATTGGGTTAGTCCAATTGACGAAAAAGGCGAATGGGCTGATTGGCGGAGGGTTTAATGGATTTTTGAATATGGAAGTAAAGTTTATCATATTGGATTAGCCCAATTGAGGAAGAAGGCAAATGGGCTGGTTGGGCCGAGGGTATATGTCTTCATTTGCACTTTTCACTTTTGTCTTTATAATTTCCTTCTCTGGCATTTTTTTCTTGTTCTTCTACTTCTTCTTCTACCATGTGATTCAACTCGTCGGCACTCGTTGAAAAAAACAGTTTTTTCAACTTAATGTAATATATGGTAGCAGTGAATATACTCATAATAAATTCTTAATTAAAATTGACGTGGTTTTAAAAAAATTTTATTTATGAAAAAAATCTGTCAAAGACGAAAAATCTCGATTTGACGAACCCGGCGAATGAATAAGAGTAGTTAAGACGAGCATGCAATCTTGTCGATCCTACTAAGAAAGTAAAGTAGAATTGATGGTTGACAAAGCTCAAATTTGAGACCCAGATCCAATCCAGAGCATTTACCATCTCCACCACCACCACCCTTTGGTGGTTCTTAGCTATAGTTTTTATAATCAAGTTTTTTACTTTTTGGATATGATTAGATTGGTTTAATTGTGAATTTATTTATTACCATACATTTTTAAAAGCGCACGAATATAAATCCAGTGTTAGTGTAGGGATCAATAAGAATCGAACACGACATATACTAATCAAAAATTATAATTCTATGATGAGAACCAACTCATCATAATAATTCGAACTGAAAAAAATCTGACTATATAAAACAAATATATATTACATTCATCTTTAACAAATGGAAGGATTTGTCTTATGAAAAAACAGTTGGAAGCATCTCTCTTATACTTTTTCACTTTGGGTCGGCAAGAACAATGATGACACATTGACTAAACATAGAAAACTAAATAACGAAAATCAAATTACTAATACTTCTTTACTTTAGCCTTTGCCAAAAGAATAATGCAATCTCAACAAATGTTTGACTCTTATAGACTCCTATTTTATATGCTTAAGGCATAACTATAAATAGAAAAAAAAATATTATTTTGATTTGGTTATTAAGTTCCTACTTAATTGCAAAACACCCATCTTTTTTAGTAATATTTGTAACCTAAATTTTTTTTTTCTCTTCATTTCCATAGGAGTCATAAGAGGATTAAATCCCACCCACATAATTACTATCATCCCTCTTTTCCCCCTCTCCCTCATTGCCAGTTAACTCCCATCCAACACAATGGGGAAAAGAATTGTTCATCAGATCAAAATATTTGAATGGTAATGATAAATCTCTTCAACCTTCTCTTACATACCCTCCAATTTGCAAGAACAAGAGATATCCTTTCGCCTCCATTGGAAATTTCTCCACAAAACCAACCTAATGGAATCCATGATTCCTATCCAACACCTTAGAAGAAGTTCGTTACCAAAAGAAAGATTCTAACGAACAATAAGAAAACACATACACACATCAAACTCGAAAATGAGGTCGTCACGAGCCAGAAAGCAAACCTTATCGGTCCTCCCCCATCAGACCCCGAGGCTTCGAGATCATTACGTGTTGGGCAAGAAACTAGGGCAGGGCCAGTTTGGGATCACTTATCTATGCACCCACAAGACTTCCAACACGCCCTACGCATGCAAATCGATCTCCAAGAGGAAGCTCCTCTGCAAGGAAGACTACGAGGATGTCTGGCGGGAGATCCAGATCATGCACCACCTGTCGGAGCACCCACACGTGGTGAAGATCAAGGACACGTACGAGGACTCCATGTTTGTTCATCTGGTCATGGAGTTGTGTGCCGGTGGGGAGTTGTTTGACAGGATCGTGGCCAAGGGACACTATAGCGAGAAAGAGGCCGCCAAGTTGATCAAGACGATCGTTGGGGTTGTCGAGACCTGTCATTCTCTGGGTGTGATGCATCGAGATCTTAAGCCGGAGAATTTCTTGTTTGATAACCCTAGTGATGATGCCAAGCTCAAATCCATCGATTTTGGACTCTCCATTTTCTACAAGCCAGGTTAATTTTTTTTTTCTCCCTCCCTCTCAATGATCATTGTGGTCATAACTCATAGTGATTTAATTAAATGATCTTTTGAGTCACGAATTTACTTCATTTTTTTTAATCTAATTTTGATATATAGGGCAAATTTTTAATGATGTGGTTGGAAGTCCTTACTATGTTGCCCCAGAGGTTCTTCTGAAATACTATGGACCTGAAATTGATGTATGGAGTGCTGGGGTTATTCTTTACATCTTACTATGTGGAGTCCCACCTTTTTGGGCAGGTAACATTGATTAAGGTCCTTAATTATTTATTAATCAACAATTATATACTAATTTGCATTGTGGCCTAATGTACTTTAAAATGTTGGCAGAAACGGAGTCAGGAATTTTCAGGCAAATTCTACATGGGAAGATAGATTTTGTTTCAGAGCCATGGCCAAGCATCTCAGACAGTGCCAAAGGGCTCATAAAAAAGATGCTTGAGAAGGACCCAAGGAAGAGGATTTCTGCCCATGAAGTTTTGTGTAATTGAACTCATTCTTGATTTACTTGATTAACCATTTTTTTTAACCGCGATGAACTTGGGAATATAGGTTATAACCCTCTCTCAAATTCTGGGAGGAGATTATAATGTATATAGAAAATATTGTGAAGTGACCAAAAAAGAGCTATTAACAACCCTTCTTTAAGATCTAGATTTAATGTTGAAACGATTATCCGATTTCTTATTTTTGGCCTCTATTCAATCTAAATTCTAGTTTCTTTGTTGTCTATTAGCTTACCTTTTATTTCCTTTCACTAATTTGTTTTTTTCCCCTCATCTTTTGTAATGATGACCAGGTGACCCGTGGATTGTAGATGATCTCGCTCCAGACAGACCATTGGATTCGGCAGTTTTGTCTCGCTTAAAGCAATTCTATGCTATGAACAAGCTTAAGAAGATGGCCTTACGTGTATGAACAAACCCTCTTCTTCTTTTTTCCACCTTTTCATGCTAGCTAAAACGAACCGATCTTGCTATAAGCACGAAGTTGGTTCCTCTAACGAACACATACACATTTTCCTAATTGGGCTAGTATGGTTCAATCGAATAAGCTAACCTATACCTGAACAGTTTTCGTAACTGAATAAAGCTGATGAATCTGTAGGTGATAGCAGAGAGAATGTCGGAAGAAGAAATTGGTGGGTTGAAGGAGCTATTCAAAATGATAGATACAGATAGCAGCGGGACGATCACATTTGAGGAGCTCAAGAGCGGGTTACAGCGAGTTGGTTCGGAGCTGATGGAGTCTGAAATCAAGGCTCTAATGGAAGCAGTAAGTGCAAATGATGACTCTTATTCAAGACTGTCATCAACATTACTAGAATGTAGTTGATGATTAGTAGTGAAGCTATATATAGTTTAGCAGGGGCTACAGTCCCTCTCAATTTTTGATCTAACGATATATGTGTGTATTCGTTTTCTTTTAATAATATTTTCACCATTATAAAAAAAAAAACATTAGAAAGTGATAGGATGAGGTTAATTAGTTTCCCCTTTCAAAACCTAAGTTTAATAGTGGAAAATTATTGTCATTTTCAACCCATACTCACTCTAAATACTGACTTCGTCACTGTTGATGATGAACATTGTTCTCTCCAGGCTGATATAGACAACAGCGGGACATTAGATTATGGTGAGTTTCTGGCAGCTACTCTGCACTTGAACAAGATGGAAAGAGAGGAGAACTTGGCAGCAGCTTTCGCTTACTTTGACAAAGATGGCAGCGGCTACATCACCATTGATGAGCTTCAACAGGCGTGCAAGGATTTTGGGCTGGGAGAGGATCCTTTGGAAGATATGATCAAAGAAATCGATAAAGACAATGTAAGTACGGTTAGTAAACGGTATAAGATTTATAATTCGATCTCTCCCAACAATTCAAGTTATTGCGACAAACTGGTTCTTGACATCGTATCAGAACGAGCCTTATGTGTCCGATAATTCTTCTATTCAAACCCAGATGAGTTTGGCTTTCGTTTGTTGGGGGTGTGTTGGTCAATGGCATAAAATCCATAATTGAACCTCTTCCAGCCCATTCGCGAGTTATTGGGATCAACGAATTCTTGACATGGTATCAGAACCTTCTATTCCCGATATGTCTTCAATTCGATTCTTGACGACCCCATTTGTTAAAAACGTAGTATTCGGGGGCATGTGCAACCATTAAGCTCGTATGAGTTGGATTTCGTTTGACGGGATGTTACTAAATGGTATAAGTTCCATAATTGAACCAACTAGTTCTTAACCATTACTGCTAAGAAAACCCACATCTCCCATACGTTTGATCCAAATGCGATTGTTTTGTTGTTTTTGCAGGATGGAAGAATAGATTATGAAGAGTTCACTGCGATGATGAGGCAGAGCAGTGATGGGTCAGTAGGAACAGGGAGGAGCAGGTCCAGAACCGCCATGAGAAGCAGCCTAGGGCTCAATTTGGCCGATGCTTTTCGAGTCAATGACTCTCCTTCACAAACTAATTGACACAAAATCTCATCTTTTTTCCTTTGTTTTTTGGGTTTGCTTTTGTAATTTTAATTTTAAATTCACGAAAGAGAAAATCAAATTTTTTGCCTTCTAGACAACTATCTATATTCATGTTAGTTGTCATCGGCATATAGTGTGTAGATTGTAACATTTGAAATTGTTTTGTTCCTAGCCATAGATGATATCATAGTACTGTTGTATAAATGTATTTATCGAGAGAATTCAAATTTTGTAATGTGTTTTGTTTATATGAATTGGTATGTGATATTTATAGATCAATAGAGAGATAAAATCGTTGACATAATTAACGACTCAACTGCAATAAAAGAATACAATAAAATGACGATAAGATACAAGCTGCAAGCATTGCTATGCAAGAATTAAGATGATTCAAACGAGTATCATAGTAGGATTGCAGGGTCCAAACTAAAACAATGCGTGAAGCTCAGCACTGTGGTGTAACATTTTGTTAGAGTGAAGTTCAAAAACTTTTCAAGATGTAAGTTGCTCCAGGGATCAAGGTATAAATTTGTCTCCCAAAATCGAGTTAGTTGATGGATATTTTTAACATAACATTTTATTTGCTATCGAACCTTAGTATAAGAAATTCTTTCTAAAAATGTATAATATAAAAACTATTTTATTATTTTTTTCATAGTACAATCAGCAAATCCTTGTAAATTGTAATTCTTGGTGAGTTGAAAGGTTGGGCTGAAAGCCCAATCAGCAGGCTTTACCCCATCAACGATTGGGCCGCGGGGGCTTGGAGTTGGAGCTAATTACCCAGAAATCCATTATTACCCCAAAACGACGACGTAGTGAAACGGATAGGATCATAGGAATATCGGATAGAGTTCCCCCATTTTCCCCTTCTTCCAGCTGCAAAGAAACACGCACTCACAGTCCAAAGCTTTTTTCTGCGCGCGGGGAAGAGGGCAACAATGGCGTCCACCTCCTACACACTCTTCTCCCTCTGCTCTTCCTTCAATGCTCACTGCAAAATATCCCCTACACCCTCCGTCTCAAAGCCCCTCGCTTTCACCAAGCCCAATTTCTCGTCCTCCTTCAATCTTCCTCAAAAGCTCTGCTTCTCATCCTCGCCTTCTCTTCCTCAATCTGCCACTGTGCCCAAAGTCTCCCAAATCGACGCCCCCGCCGTCGCCGAGTCCGAACCCGAATCTCCCCCTGCAGCGACCCAGATTGTGGAAGTTGCCAAGGAAGAAGCGCCCAAAAGGGAGGAGATTTTTGCTGTTGTTATGGTATGAATGTATATGATATCTCCGCTGTCTCAATTTGAAGGGGGTCTTTTCTAGTGTGCTTAACGAATTTTCGTTGATGGGTTCTTCAATTTGAACTCCATTTATTCAGGTTGGTGGGCGGCAGTATATTGTGATCCCTGGGAGGTTCCTCTATGTTCAGAGGTTGAAAGGCACAAATGTTAATGATAAGGTATTGTCTGGCTCCCTCACATTGCTCTCCATTTTGCTCAAACTGTTGTAGTGCAACTGCAAGCTTAGGCCTTTTCAATTGTATGAGTAGACATGAGTTCCCAATTTCTTTTATCTGATCATGAACAGGATGTTAAGGCAAAATGTGTGTTGCTTCAATTGGATTTCCAGCTCTAGTTATCATTATCAAGGATTGTGGTTCTTATGCTTTTCATGTTGATGGTGTTTAGATCGCCCTAAACAAGGTGTTACTTGTGGGAACCAAGACAACTACCTACATTGGGAAACCTGTGGTGACTAATGCTGTTGTTCATGCTGTAGTTGAAGAACAGGTTGGTTTTCACTTACCTTTCTTGGGCCATGTGTTGGTTTTCAAGATTTGCTGGTGATTTCTAATTTCGCTCTCTTAACGTGTTGTGGTTGCTGCCTTTGTACCTCAGGGGTTGAATAAGAAAGTTATTGTCTTCAAGTATAAGAAGAAGAAGAACTACAGGAGAAACATTGGACACAGACAGGTAACTTCTGCTTCCTTTGTTTTATTAGTTTACTGCTAGAGTCTTTGTTTCATGAGAAGAAGAACACACGATAGTGCCGCCATTATTAGGATGTTTGTTTCTTGGATGGATTTGTCAAGTTCCTCTAGATACTAGGTTAAAAGTTCTTCTGTGTACGATGAAAAGAAGTGTGAAAATTGTTAGCCATCGTCGGAGTTAATATGGTTTGCGCCTTCAATCTGCTTATTCCTGTATACCCGCTTTCCGAATCTACTTCTGAGCTTGTTGATATCGCTTCACTCTCCTGGTGATGGCTTTGAGAGGTCAAACAGATTTGGATTGTTTCCTTGACCAATGTCTCAAGGAAGACCTGGTAGAGGGGAAACGAAGAAAAACAGAGGATAACAATTCTATTTTCCTACTTTTCACATTACTACCACTACTGCTACTTATGCACAATTTTATGCTTATTTCCCAGCTATTCACTCATTAATGTGTTTTGAGCCATTTTAACTTGTCACTGCAGCCAAATACAAGAATAAGAATTACAGGCATTACAGGCTTCGAAAACTACCCGGCTGTCACCCTCGACTCAATTGCGAAATCAAGTTGATTAAGACCAGTAGCTGGAAGTTCAACATGACAAAAGCATTCTTTGAAGTTCTATTTCCCCTTTTTATCTCCCCTGTTGTATTACACAGCTCCTCTATAGGGTAGTGCTCAAGCTCAATATGCGAATACTGTTGTTCCAAGTTCCAACGACAGACTTGATTCCAGGTTCTCAGAGTAGCTTCGAAGCAGAACGAGTGCTAAAAATTATGCCTCTGTGTATGATATTTTGTAAGCAATAGCTGCTGCTAGGCTCATAGCTCAAAAAGTATTCCAAAGCTGCTGTCCTGTTTCAGTTCAGCAGTAGATTAGAAAGTTGGGTTTGCTAATCTTCTTTTAAAAACCCTATATTTACTTGTGCAAATCAAACTTCTAACCTTCTGTGGAATGTTAATCATAACATGGTACCGACAACCATTAAATTTCATCTTCATTCTTTCAAGAACGTAACTGCAGTCTTTACCCAGTATCCAATCTCACAGCAATTTTATCTAATTCTCTAGACCAGAGCACAACATGCATGCCCCAGAACCATGGTTGTGAAATTGTTCTGGACTCCTCTCAAACTGGACCAATTCGAACCACCCACCTTAGCTAATCAAGATGCTTCATCAGCAGTTAGTCGACGTAGGCATCTTACAACTGACAATTTCTCACAGGAACAAGGGAAGTAGAATGCAAATACAACAAAACTTGCAATAATTAAAGCTAAAGCCTACTGATTTCTAAACTTTACTATGCGCTGTTACATGGTTTTCCCAATACAACATTCTGTCAGTGCAGTATGACTATCCGAGATCTCACAAAAGCTTATCTAGTAATCTGCAGATGGGAGATTATGAGTTGAACATTACATTCAAAATGAATATGTCGGAACTTTAATAGTGATCGAAGGCATATCTATGCACTATCTTTCCGATACTGTGTGCCATCATAACGGGAGAGAAGTAATCAACCCGTAAAGTATCAACTGCTTAAGATGCCACATAAAGACCTCCTGGTGGTGCACTAATAAATATTGCCATCAGCTTCCGTGCTTCGTCGAAGCCCTTCCTCTGGCTTTATTCGTAAATCCGCTTTCTCTTCAAGAGAGTAGGAAAGATGGAGATGGAGCCGATGATGAAGAGCACGGATAATGTTTTGAAATCGTATAGATCTTTCACCGACTTCAGATCCCCAAGGGCAAGCCCAGCCTGATAGATCACACAAAATGCAGCAGCAACAGGAGGGATGAAGAGTGCAATTAGTACAATAATGAATGGACACAAGAACATATAAAGAACTGCTGACCAAACCTGAGGACTCTAGGTGCTCACTTTATAGTAGAAACCACATCACACAACCAAAAGGAGACCAGAATTGATCATTTGAATTCAGCATCAGAATAACGAGTGTACCAGAATGGTTGGCCTTTACTAGCTATACTATATTGGCACACAACAAAACAAGTGATAGAGCTTGTTCCATTCAACATCAAGATAGCAACGATATAAATCAAAAGCCTCCATAAAAGCCGCCTAAAAACGTTTGAGGAACTTGCAGCATTGCTGCCTCAAAAAGAGAGGGGGGAGGGGGGGAAATGAGAAGCATATCAACCTTCAGAGAGCAAGGTGAAATTAAAGATGCGCAATAAAACCATAAGACAGACAACAAGGAATTCAGGCACAGAGATTATCCAGTAAAGGAAGGAAACAGAACAAACATTTTTGTCACCCTCAATGGCAGTCCACATGTTACATGCATGTCACTATGCTATGACCAACAGACAGATAAACAGAAAACCAGCCAGTCTACACAGATACAGGCATCTACCAGAAACAGAGAAAGCTGGATGAAGACAATAACAGGCACATCAAGAGGGAAAATAGGAACTTACCCTCACAGTAATATAGGATGCTGGAATGAGACCAATCAAAGTAGCCAAAAAGAAAATATGAAACGGTATGTCAACGATAGGAGATGCCAAATTGATGAATAGGTTAGGCAATGTGGGTGTTATCCTCAAGAAGAGCATGTAATTCAGTAGCTTTTCCCGACGTTTCGCTATCTGCATGTTTTGAAAAAGAAACTAGTGCTTCATAAACGCAGCAACATCCAAAGGAATGACATGTTACATGTGTCTATTTATTCAATTACCTCCCCCTGAAAAAATCTCAACTTTTCAGGCCACAACCAACTAACGAGAGGACGGCCAATCAGCTTAGACAAGAAGAAGCAAGAAGATGCTCCGGCTGTTGCATTTAAAACAACCAAAAAAAGACCCCTTATAACACCAAATAGAGCTCCAGCTAGCAATGACATGAAAATTGTTCCTGGAATCATGAAGGTCTGCATGAAGATGTAAGTCGAACAGTAGCCGAGGATGAACTGTGCAGGATGATCCTTCGCATATGTTCCAAGATGTTCTCTGACCACAAGTGATTACACACATTAATATCTCATCTCATATCACAAAATTTTAGAAATGCCTCCTACAATCACCACAACAAATTTCAACCAGCTATATCTAAAAGTACGAGCAACTGTTCCTACACATATCTGAACCTCATTCAGCACTATCGATACATTACAGGGTCCCTTAAATAGCTTGAGGCTAGAAGGACCAACTGAGCAAAATCTATAGAAACCCATCACTCAATTATTCCATCACTCTCAGGTTTCCCAATGCACCAGTACACCATCACTTATACAACTTAACCCCAGTCACACTACAATTCATCAAGCAAAGACCACACCTCGCTTTAATTCAATCGAGTCATTCATCAGCACCATTGCAAGTCCCACAACAACAAGAAAAACAGCTAAAACCCAAAATCTCCTTCTGGACAACAGTAATGAAAACAGAAGGGGGAAATGAAAGGGAGAACAAGCGATAAGTTACTTGAGCAAGCGGAGATCGGAGACAGTGCGAGGGATTTTGAGCTTGCCGTACTCAGCCGCAGGCATGGTCCAGTAGATGCAGAACAAACCAGTAGAGAAGACGAAGAAAACGGAAACAGCAGTAGCTAATTCCCATCTGGAAAAGGGGAACCTCTCGAACTTGGATTTCTTGCTGGACGGAGAATCGTCCTCTTTCGCCTTCTCTTCATCCCTCATTCCCATCCTGTTGCCTCCGCTACTCACAGTCAACCCACCACTCTCAACCACCGCAATACTCCTCGGTGCCGCCATTAATCTCGATCCATAAAAAGAAATTTTCCCCCAAAAAAACCCAGGAAAGAAAATGGAGAACAACTTTCGTTTACCGCCGAATTTGACCCATCTCAATCTGGGTTCGAGAGAAGAGGGAAAACACACAACCTTTGTAATGATTCTGGATCTGTCCTGGCGATTGAGATTGACTTAGAGAAGAAGAAAGTGAGATTGAGGGAAGAAGAGAGGAAGATTGGAAGCAGAATGATAGGGAGGAGGAAGAAAGAACAGGGGAGAGGAAGAGAGGAAGAAGAAGTAGAACAAGGAAGAATGGTTTCTGTAATTGATATTCGATGCCCAGTTTACAGTTTACTTCCTCTATTTATATGACTACCCAATTACAAAGTGATCCCCCAATTAATTCCTATTACAACTAAACTCCCATTCATTACAATCCCCCACTCCTTGAGAACATCCTTGTCTTCAAGGATGAACAGCAAAAGAAAGACATAACCATCCAAACAAATGAACTAACTGCACTAATCAACAAAATGGGTGATGATACGAGGGTTAAGTATACTGATGTTTCATGGACTTTCAGTATGAACTTCCAAGGTCTTTAGATACACAGATATTTATTGAATGTTATTCTGATTACAAAATTCTCCACATATCAGGCCAATGAAGATTTCCCATCATAAGTCATAACTGAGGTATATGTTCATAGCTACGTGCTCTCAATTCTCTACACGAACCAGCCTTAGAACCGAACTCAGCAGCGTGTGCACTGCGCTATACAGTCCCCCTTACAATCAACATTATACCCCAACACTTTCGGATTCCTCAGCAACACATTTCTTAGTGATTTCCCTTTAATCGCCCACACCTTTTCCAGGATCATCACTTCTGAGAACTTCTTCAGCACCTTCAAGAGATCATCGTCCGATAGCCCAAGAGACCTCAAATAATCCAACATACCATGTACTACTTCAAATCTTGGGACCTATTGCTTTTGCTCTTCCCTGCATGAGTCCCATGTAGACCGTTCTTCATCAGTCAAAAAGTAGAGTTTGAGGGTCTGCAGTCGATGAACGTATTGTCCAGCTCTTGTGATGCGTGTGCCATTTGGTTAATGCTGGAGGTAGAAGTGCAGTTGCTGCAAGGTCATGCTGCAACAATGTAAGTATCGTACAAGAAAATGTCTCAGTCACGCTGCATCAGTAGCTTTCAGCAACGATTCTGTATCACATTTATGCATTCTGCAAATCCCAGTTACTGCAATTGGAGATGGTTAGAATGTCCTTAACATTACATTGTCCTGTATGAAGAACACAGAAGGTAAACTATAGAGAAATTTCACACATATGACATTTGAAGCACCATAATCAACTGCTTCAAATTGTTAAATGCCACAGATATACATCAGTGAATATGTCGAAACCTACAATGTATTAGGATGGATCAAAATGAGCCAGCCTGCCTGACTCAAGTGATCAGTGTTAAGCTCAAGAGTATTATGACATTTGAAACACCATAATCAAGTGCTTCAAATTGTTAAATGCCATAGAGATACAGCAGTGGATATGTCAAAACCTACAGTGTATTAGAATGAATCAAAATGAGCATGCCTGCCTGACTCAAGTGAGCAATGATATGCTCAAGAATAGCAACCAGTGCCATTAGTTTGTGCTATACATCCCACAACCAAAAGGAAAATGAAAATCACCTACTGAGCTACATCACACCAGTAAACTGTACATCCACAAGTTCTTCTGCACAAATATATGTCTCTTCCAGCAACTGTGCTTGTAAGGTCCGCTTTCTGGGCTTCTTCCTCCTCAGCTTCTTCTAGCCAGCGGATAAAAGGCTTCAGGTCCTCCAGAAATGTTTCTCTACAAAAAAAACAAAACCAAAATAAATGAAAATAAACACATTTAAGAAGAATATTATATCAAATTAACCAATTTGCATTACCTGCCATCAGCATTTGTCCCCTTGTAAAACCAGTTCAGAATTACATCCTCACAAAGAACATCCACATCATATAGCACACGGATCACCCGAGCAAAGAGATTCAACATCTTCGGCTCTCTCCAGCAAGTTCTCTGTACACTGTTGATCAGTTGCATCTGGCAAGCTATATTGCCAGAGCAAAACTTTTCGAAAATCACATCACCACATCTAGACAGATGGGAGATTGCAACCATTTCATTATCCTTCTGATTAGTTCCACTTCCTGGCCACTTAACAGTCTTTACAATTGCTTCCCACAGGAGGCCAGCAGCTTCAATCACTGGAACTCTGGACTTGGCAATGATCCCACTTATTTCTTTAGCAATGGTAGTTGGAGCCTTCAAATCCAAATCCCCCAAAAATTCTGAAAAATTAGCCTCCAACTCCTCCAAATCTGCCTCTTTCTGTTGTCGTTCCAGGTAGAGGACAATTTGGTCGTTTCCTTCCTCCCTGAAATGATTACACAGTAAACATCCCCAAGATTGAAAAAAAATGAAAAACATAGAGAAGAAATAGAGGAGACAGGAATAGGAATACATACTAACCTCATATATGCAATGAGGTCGTTTAAGCTCTGCTTTCCGGTTGGAAGGAAACTCACCATGCATGTTTATTAGTAAGTGCTTCATAGATTTCTTTGCTTCTGATTTGCATAGGACAATCTGAATTTCTTAATGTCTTTCTGTTTGTCAATAAACGAACAGGTAGTTTTCCTTGGGTCCTCTGCCCAGTCTCGCTCCATGGTTCCAGTTGAGGGAGGAGGAAGGAACCTATACGCCATTTTCACGGGAGATTCAATCGAGGTGAGCATTCAGGGATGGGTAACATTGTTAAAGAAGCTGCTTAATCTTCGCCCAGCCTTGAGAGCTCGCCGCCAGGATGTGATGAGAATGGCGTATAGGTTCCTGAATGCTCACCTCGGTGGAATCTCCCGTGAAAATGGCGTATAGGTTCCTTCCACCTCCCTCAACAGGAACCAGAGAGCGAGACTGGGCAGAGGACCCAAGGAAAACTACCTGTTCGTTTATTGACAAACAGAATGACATTAAGAAATTCAGATTGTCCTATGCAAATCAGAAGCAAAGAAATCTATGAAGCACTTACTAATAAACATGCATGGTGAGTTTCCTTCCAACCGGAAAGCAGAGCTTAAACGACCTCATTGCATATATGAGGTTAGTATGTATTCCTATTCCTGTCTCCTCTATTTCTTCTCTATGTTTTTCATTTTTTTTCAATCTTGGGGATGTTTACTGTGTAATCATTTCAGGGAGGAAGGAAACGACCAAATTGTCCTCTACCTGGAACGACAACAGAAAGAGGCAGATTTGGAGGAGTTGGAGGCTAATTTTTCAGAATTTTTGGGGGATTTGGATTTGAAGGCTCCAACTACCATTGCTAAAGAAATAAGTGGGATCATTGCCAAGTCCAGAGTTCCAGTGATTGAAGCTGCTGGCCTCCTGTGGGAAGCAATTGTAAAGACTGTTACCCATCCCTGAATGCTCACCTCGGTGGAATCTCCCGTGAAAATGGCGTATAGGTTCTTTCCACCTCCCTCAACAGGAACCAGAGAGCGAGACTGGGCAGAGGACCCAAGGAAAACTACCTGTTCGTTTATTGACAAACAGAAAGACATTAAGAAATTCAGATTGTCCTATGCAAATCAGAAGCAAAGAAACCTATGAAGCACTTACTAATAAACGAGGAATAGGGACTTACTTCAAAAAATCTGTCACCATACTTGGAAAGTTCTAGATCACTTCTCTCTAAGCTCTTAGAGAGCACTGCAAAGTCCCCGCCACTCTCGTTCAAAACCCTCATAAAGGATTCTGAAAAGGCTCCAGGATCAAGGGTATTCACCTGGTGCTTCTTCATACTCTGGCTGAGAGATTTTCCACTGAAAATCGTGACAAATTAGATAGTAAATACGAAACTCAGAGAGGGGGAGAGAGACAGAGCAGAGTAAAGAAGAGACAAATAGGGGTTTTCGCTAAACACCAAGAACGAAAAGCGAAGTTCCAAGAAGATCTCAAAAAGCAAGCCATAAACGAACAGAGTTAACCTAATAGCAAAATTGGAACAAGGGCATAAACCAAAACAGAGGTAAGTTGCAAAATCGAAGTCACCGAGGAAGAAAATACGAGAAGCAATTCTTGAAAGAAGAATACAATGACTGAATCACAGAAGAGAAATTGCCAGTTTCCCAGGAAACTGAGCGATAAGTCACCCTAAACCAGATAAGAACATAAAGTAAAGAGAGAGAGAGAGAGAGAGAGAGAGTGGGAGGGATTTCAATTTCGGAATCTACCTCGAGATTGGAAGTGCAGGAACACAGGAAGCAAGCAAAAGAGCCAACAATCGAAAGAAGAAGAGAATAAACGAAGCAGAGAAGAGGAAAATCGATTTTCCCAGGCAACAAATACGAGTACTAACCCTAGAACAGAGTAGACCAGAAGGAAAAAGAGAGAGATAGCGAGCGGGAAGGAATTCAAGTTTGGGGTTCTATCGAAGCGGAGAGTTTGCGAGTTGTAGTTGTTGAGCCGTGAAAAAGTCTGTTGGCGAAATGATGCGTCTCTGCAGAACAGCAAACTGTCCCTTCGGCCGATGTGTGTGTTACTGTTCGAAGCATGGACCAATGGAGATAAAGGATATGGAAAGCAGGAAGATATAACGTGACCACCTAGCCAACAGACTACCAATTTGTCGAACACAAAATGGGCAACTAATCAATTGAAACTCAAACTGCCTTGACCTTACACATACATGTGCGGTGATGAGAAATATGGATTTAATACATATCACCTGCCTTAGAAACAATCAAATCTTCCTTATTATGCAATTAAATGCGAGTTATAATCATGTGGTCTGGATGTCTATGTTAAATTTCGAAACACACGAGATGTTGATCGTGTAATCGTTACAACAGGGGCATTCACCATTTGATGCAAATGTTTTGAAAATTGAGTTGATCGTAATAACAATGTGACGACCCATTTGATGGTCTGTCATATACAATACTAGATAGATGGCCCGCGCTCCGCGGCGCGTACCCTTTCGTATCTGAACATGCACTTATTTTTTAGTTTAACCACACACTACAATGGATATTATGATGTTTGTAGAAATGGATATCATGGTGTTCAGTTGATGCATGAGGAAACATTGTTTTTTACTACATTGAATTATTAAATGTTTTGTTAATCCTTTTTCGTAAGTAAAATACTTACATTGCGATTTTGTATTCATTGCAGTCAAAATTTCGATTCTATGTAGAAGCGTTTTTGGTGACCTAGAAGCGTAAAAATATAAGCTTTAAAGCATAGATTTTTACTACAATTGTGGGTGAAAAGTATGATTCTACGTAGACGCTTTTTAGTGAGCTAAAAGAGTAAAATCGTGGTTTTTTAGATTTTAAAGCAAGATTTTGACTTTTACACGTTATAAAACCAACTAAAAAACTCCAAGACACCTCAAAAGCGTTATAGGAATTCTCACATATTCTAAAGTGATCTTGGCCTTCCTTATTGTGTATGGTCAATCCAACTATTTTGCTTTTTAACTCCAAAATCCCCCTCAACATCTCGTGGCTTACCTTTCATTTTATCCACGAAAGTACATAAACTCCCATTAGATTACACTCAAATAAGATTAGCAGCATGTAACTAATGGATTCAATGATTTTCCTTCCATTATCCACAAAACCATATAACCTCCTTTTACACTTGAAGAGGATTAGGTAAATGCAGAAGCAAGTGTCACTCGACTCCCACAAGTCCATAACTACTTCCTTCTTTTTTTCCATTGTAACTCATGTTTGATACTTTAACTCCTGTTTGATACTTTATTTATCTATTGTCGGTGTTCTGTCGGAAAACCAAAAGAGAGATGTTCATGCAAATGGAATTAGAGTCTTATCTTCTAAATCAATAAAAAGTTATTACCTTTGTCTATTTAAGGAGGTGGCAAAAAAGATTTGAATTTATAAAAAATCAAATCCAACTGGATAATTTGTTGAATAATCAAATTTGTCTTGATAATGGCAAAAGAAAGTTAACAGTTAAATTATTGTAAATACTCAAATCGATACTAAAGTTACAGGGCACCTTGAAGTGAAATAACCGAAGGCACAATTCATGCTTAAAAAGTGTTGTCGTGACTTAGAAAGCTGGAATAATATTTGCAACTCACTCAAAAGCAAGGATTACAAAAGCAAAAGCTGATTTGATTGATCTCATTGAACATATAACTGTGATGTTATAATAAAATAAACACATGTACGTGACCAAAGCATTGATCAGTATACAAATAAAATGGTTTGTAATAAAGTTCACAACATGCTAAATTACTAATTCAAAGAAAACATCATACTCAATATGCTGCGAATTATTCAAAATTTCTAATAAGATTCTTGGAAGGTCAAGAAAATGTTAGTTGTGCAATGAAAGCATTAAAAATATCGCTAGTGCCAAGTAGTAAAATGAAATAAGAAACAAACAACTACAAATACAGTGAATGTAAGAGAATTGCATAAGAAACCTACATATATAATGACACAGCTAGTTACAAATGATCCAATATAATGACACAGCTACTTATCCATGCAATTTGTTTGTCGCAATTAACCAAACCATGTATTCTAAAATTAATGGGAGACGAAGTAGCTATTTCAAAGGTAATGGAGGCCAGGTGGCATCCCCACTATGCAACGTGTAGCTCATGCAAATTGGAAAAAGGGGCTGATGATGCTCAACTGAGAGTTGGGGAAAGTCGGGGAGATGGTCAGAGACGCATAGACACACCATATCGTTGTGCGGGATCGAAGACATAATCAACACCTTCCTCCAAGTTCTACCCATCACGCTTACCAAGCCACAGTAGCAATGAATGGTTTAAAGGATCAACCTGACCTTCAAAGCTCATACTAACAAAGAGTTTTGCTCTAAGCTGCTTCTTCTTCATCATCTGTATGAATAATGGAAGCAGAGAAAATACAATAAATCTATTTCTTCTATGGAATATGAGGTTAAGTAAATCAAAGCAATTACTAAAAACACTTGCAAAGTACAATTGCGTTGGAGACCAGTTCACATAGTTGCAGGTGGCTTATTTCACCATCCTTGTATTTCAATCATACCTGCAGGAATACAATATCATTCAATTGAGTCCCTCCACCTTACTCAGCTTGAACTCCCTGCCCAAGTAGTCTTCTAATGAACTTGTTGATGTTCAGTCGATAAATATGACCGTGCAGGCTATCCATAGTTCACGATTATAGCTGCGCTATTTTCATCATAACTACTTCAACAACTGTATAAACCCCAGCTTGACCTAACGAAAGTGACCTCGCTCGCCCATGTCGGTTTCAATTGAATAGAAGAAGAAAGGGGGAAAAAGTTGGATTTGAGGGATGGATTTGATGTAGAATAAAGAAGAGAGTGTCAGATTCACGAAGAAGCAATTGCAGAGGAAGATCTTCGCTGGCCGCTGCTTCTTCTTTTAACGGGATTGCATTGTTAGAGAAGAAGGGTTTTTGCTTTTGGACATACTTGGCCAGCCCAAAGTAGTAGTCAATGGTTTGACGTAAAATTGTCCACAACTGACCATTGGGCCTCGGTGAATAAAGATTCCGTCTAGAATTCCCGTTTTTATCGTAATGAACAGTAACTCCTATTTTTTAGGAACTTGCATTTTAATAATTCTAATAATGAACAGTAACTCCTATTTTTTAGGAACTTGCATTTTAATAATTCTAATAATAATTATTATTATTGTTACGAAATAAACATAATAATGTGACCTAGCTAGACAGCTAGCTTGTTCTCAGACTTGGCTTGCACTCGATTTGCCTACACTACACCCTGCAGGCGTGTGAAGCTGTTTCGGCCCATCAACAAGTCCACAAGCTTAGTCGAATCAATCGCAGGACGTGGTCGTGGGCCTCTTTCCTACCAGTTAGCTCGTGGGCCTCCTCGCGGGGGGGCCATCTCTGTTGGAGAAGGAGAGAAGGCTGCTAATCCGAAGCTCTTACGGATTTGAATACTGGCGCCAAGAAGGAAGTTCAAAATAAAGTCTGTGTTATTATTATTATTTTTTTATAGGAAACCTGGGTAATAATATTAAAAAGGATCACACCTGATCCACAGAAATACAACCCGAGTCAGTCTCAACCATACACAATAAAGTAAGGGGAGGGTCATCAACCCAAACCACCTGATGATTCCAACCTGAACTAGAGTGAGCTAACCAATGGGCCAGAGAATTAGTCTTTCGTGGCGAAAATTCCCATTTCACCTTCACACCAGATATAGCTTCATTCTCACCTGCCATCCTCTTGAGTTCATCGCACCAAATCCCAATCTCTGTGAAATCATCCTCCCCTCTATTCAGTAAGTTCACCAGCACTTGGCAGTCCGACTCAATGATCAACGGGCTGATGGATCTCCGATTAGCTTCACGCAGACCCATCATCATCGCCTTTGCTTCGGCTTCGATCGGACGACAGATCCCCTTCTCTCTCTTCACCGTTGCTCCAACGAAACCTCCCCTCCAATCACGAATAATGGCGCCCAGTCCGACTCCCTGCTGTTGAAGCACCCCAGCATCCGAATTCAACTTGTAGATCCCCTCAGGAGGAGGAAGCCAACGTCTTTCCCGCGGGGCTCTGCTCTCAATGACCAGAAAGGAGGGCCGAAGCAGGGTTGGGTTGAGCTTCCAGGTAGGAGGACAGCCACCCCAAAGCTCGAGGTATGATTTCTTCTTCTTCTAGCTTCCGATTATTGTACTTGTGATTGCACCTCTCCTTCCATAGGGACCACATAATTGAGCAGAATCTTTGGACTTTTTTCTATGGATGAATTGTTGAAGACCTCTTTAAGCCAGTCGATGCATGTCCTTCCTTCTCCCATCTCATACAGGTCTTTTTCTACACAATTTCTCCACTGCCTTCGGACCCAGTCGCATTCGCGCAGGGCATGCATTTGGGATTCTGGAAGATTACAAAAAGGACAGTCCGGAGTAGCATTTTCGATCCACTCCTCTATATTGACACCAACAGGTAAGATGTTCTTACTTACTTACCATAAGAAGATCCGAACCTTAGGTTGAATCTGAAGCTTCCACAGGGCTTTCCAAAAATATGAGTCCTCCATGTTTCTATTGTGAAGTCGGATCATTGTGTGTTGTTGTTGACTTCGAACATAGTGGTATGCAGTTTTTACTGAGTAAGCCCCATTGTCTGTAGCTTTCCAGACCCTTGAATCTTCCATCGGGGGGAACAAATAGGGATTTTTTATATTAGTTCTTGATCACTTCTGGAGAACAAATTCCTCAGCTTTGATTCATCCCATCCACCATAAACTTCATCGAACAGGGCACTGACCTTTATCTCAGGAGTTTCCCCATCAGGGGGAGGGTCACCCTGGTAGAAAGCCTTTCCCGGGATCCAAGCATCCTTCCAAATGTCTATAGAAACCCCATTGCCCACTCTCCACCTGAAACCTTCTTCAATCTTGTCTTTTGCACCCATTAAACTCTTCCAGATATAGCTTGGCTGGTAACCAAGCTTTGCTTGTAGAATATCAGTTTTTGGATAGTATCTGGCTTTTAAAGAAAGTCTGTGTTATTTTGTTCTAGTAAAATTGTGTCGTTCTAGTTTTGTTCATTTAGACGCTTCAGTTTTTTTATTATGTTGCATTTGAGTCCTGTTGAGTTAACGGCCTCGGGTTCCCTTTCACCAATGCAGAGATCAAACATCAAACTCAAAGCTCTCCACCTTAATTAACTACCTCTATCTACTTTTTCCGTCTTGTATTATGTTTTATTATTGTTTTTCTAATAAAACCATTGCTACGTATATAAGAGTAATCGGGTTCAATCGATATTTGACAAAAACCGAGTTGAAGATCATTGGCATAAATACAATAATGAAAGTCGGTAAAAAATGAGAGAAATATGATTGAGTGAAACAGTCAGAATATTTCAGTATCTTATTTTTTAGGGCTGGGAATCTAGACCAAACCGTATGAGAAATCGCGGTCCAGACCATATCGTGGTTTGATCTGGACCGTGAGACCAGAACTATGGTCTGGTCTGGTTTGCGGTCTCGATCTCCTCCTTTAGCGGTGGCCTGGAGTAGTCTGGACCGCGGTCTCCTCCTTTGCAGCAGGAGAGGCGCATCCTAGTCCAACACGATCCGGAAGAAGAAAGCATTTTGATTTTCGACGCCATCCCGCAGACATTGAACGAGGGGGCACCCGATCTCGCCGCTGACCAGTGGTTCAGGACGACCCCTGCTTCTGACTCTGCGATTGAAGGGCTGGAAAGGGTGGAAGCCGGTGGTGTGACAGAGGATTGCAGGATTTGCTTTGAGGAAATGGTGGGTAGTAGCAGCGATGGCGGGACCCAACAATTAATTCGAATGCCCTGTGGGCATATGTTCCATGAGAGCTGCACTGTTTCCTGGCTGAAAACTTCCAACTTCTTTCCTTGTGCCAGGAAAGAAGGGGAAGGTTATGATTTTTCTTCGATTTAGGAATTTAATCTTAGTGGTATTGGGTTGGTGGGTCGGGTCTGGTTTGGTTAGAGGATTAGGTAGGTTTAGATGTTTTTTTTTTATAGGTTTCACTTCCTAGAAGTGGTGGCAATTTGTGATCTAATCCAGTCCATTCACTTAAATATCCAACTAATTTAATTCATTTAAATATAATTCATTTGATCCAAATTCAATTGGATTGGTGAATTCTTGGATCATTATCAAATTATAGTTTGATACCTATATTTTAAATATTTAGAATTTGGTACCTAAAATAAATTTTTTAATACAGAAAATGTCATTGAAAATTTAAATTTTGGCACCTATATTTCTTTATTATTTCATTTTAGTACCTAAAATTTTTCAAAAGTTATATATTGGTCCAAGACTTGGATGCCATTTAAATTTATGAATCAATCCATCAATCCACATAACCCAATCCATTAGATCCACCAATCCATTTGCCACCTTTAGTACCTAGGTTTGGGCTTTGCGTTGTTGCTTTTCACTGGCAACCGTCTTGAAAGAATTATCATTTTGTGTTTAGCTCCACATAGTTAAAAAAATAATTTTCGATACCCAACTATTATAAATAGATTATACCAGATAGTTTACAAATAATTTTGGAATTCCGCGATATTTTGACACAAATCATCACGAGTAACTTGGACAATATCATATTAATGGAGTGATCTAGTTTCAACAAGTGTGTCGAATTTGCATAGATAAACGTTGGGGGTTCCTTCCCAAGCCTTATACAAACTAGTTCAAAATGAACAATATCGTAATAATGAAACTATATGCTTTTAACAAGTGTGTCAAATCCACATGTATATCCTTTTAGGTTAATTCACAAAAGACTCTGAACACTTATATACCATAATAATTACCTCTATATTTCTCATGTGGTACTTGGACTGAAACATGACGATAAGACATAAAAGAGGAGGAGAAATGATACATATATATATATATTAGTAAGAGTGCATATGCATATGCACCATCCCATTGATGATGCAGTTATCTAGCTATATGCAATTTACAATTAGCAAATCAGAACATACGAAGTGATCAAAAGCAAACCCCCCAAAGAGAAAACTAAAAGCATCTGAAATACCAAAAAGAGAAAGAGGAAAAAAAACCTATGGCATACGTGTGCATGGGGAACCAACCAAATAAGATTCTCACAAGATGCAAGAATAGAAACCGTCGTGTATAATGCTGTTACGAAATCAAACTACGTACGTACTTCAATCAATCATCGGCAAAACAATCTAGAAAACAAGAACCATCGTCGGCTTCGATAGATCCACCACTTTCGGAGTCGAGCATCAACATCGGGAGAGACGACGAGAAGATCATCTGCGACGAACTCGAGCCGCAGATATTGGCTTCTTGGGACACAAGCAACTCCTCCAAGTTATTGCTCTTCAAATTGCCACCAGCAGCTGCCATGGTGTTGGTGGTGGTTGCACCAAAACTTGCTGAGATGGCATTATTGGGGCTGTCGAGCAGCTGCGGGAGCTGATGATCATCTTGATGATGGTGGACGACCATCAGCTGGCTGTTCATCATCATCATGTCAGTGAAGGACTGGGAACTAGGGGAGATGAAAAGCTGATTGTGATCTTGATTGTGGATGTGATGAGGATGATGATGATGAGGTGGCAAGTATTGGTGGGATGTTGATGAACAAGCTTCAGATGGTGATGAGTGAAGAGGATTGTAGCCATGGTGGTGGTGGTGGTGGTTCCATTGGTGGTGATCATAGCCTTGCCTTTGGTTGGGAATTGGCTTCTTGAATGCTCTACATACCACCCATCCTTCTTCCTGCATTGACACGTATATATCGTTAATCCATCGTGAGGAGAGGCTGAAAATAACAAATCGCGGCAACAGGTTTCCTACAATTGAATCTAAATTTTCGGAGTAATAACATATATACATTATAACATTGGATCAAAAACTGAGAGGAGCTCTGTAGCCCCTCTCCTGCTGAACTACACGTAGCTCCACCACCGTTTCGAGGAATCATTGTTATGTATGTACCTGAGTGGGTGCGTTTTGGGAGGTCTGGAGGCGATACTCGTGCATGATCCAGTCGGTCTTCCTTCCGTTGGGAGCTCGTCCCCGGTAGAAGACGAGGGTCTTCCTCATCCCGATGATCTTGTTCTTCGACAGCACCGCCTTGTCGCGGCCGGTGGCCTTCCAGAACCCGGCCGCCGTGGCTCGGTTGGTCCGGGTTCCGGTCGGGTACTTCCGGTCCTTGTGGCTGAAGAAGTACCACTCCGTCTGTTCGTCGTACCCTAGATTGCATGTGGCTGCAAGTACGTAGGTAATCCAATCATAATTAATGATATATATAGTTAGTAATTAGTAATTTAATCATAATACATGATTTGGTCCGAAATATATATATAACTCCCTTAATTCTAGGATTTAGTGAATTCCGAGAAGTGATCTGGTGACAAAACGTGGACGAATATGTTATAGCCCGTTCATACGTCTTGAGTTTAAATTCTAATGAAGTGGATATATGTAATAATTACCTTAACAATGAAAATTTTCTAGTTAGATTATGTACAACCAAGTAAGAGTATATGTGAACAGCATATTCTACAAATATATATGGTTGTAGGATTTTTGGAGTATGCAATATTCTTGGAGTATACCATACTCCATAAATATGATCGTTGGATGTATTTTGATGTATTATGGTGAATCAGAATTGTCTATTATTATTTTTTATTAAATTGATAATCAGGTTTGGGTTAGAAAATCAGGTTGTGAGGTTTGTCCATTAGATTTTAGCAATGGCAAAACCTCGATTAAAAATATGGAGGGACCGAAAAATAATAAACGACATCAATTTTCTATAATTGAACCTAAATCTTGGAGAAGGGTAATAGCCACCATAGTAACACTTCATAATGTTTTCTTAATATATATAAATATACACACTATAACTTTAGATAAAAATAATCAGAGGGTGATATAGCCAACTCTAAATTTTACGTATCTCCATCACTAGATGTCAGAATATAATATCATATTTAAAATTTAATTTAATACAGAGTCTGAATGAAGATATCTCACCAAAAATACCGAGTAATTTTATTCACACTTGACAATCAGAATTATCTTATTTATTTTGCAGCAATTTGTTGTCTAAGTTTCTTTTTCCGACAAATAAACACTACTAGCTTTTATTTAATTTGCTGTTGCCATATTTCTATTGAAGAATGATTAACGATCCACAGAGAAAGAAAAGCATGCCACCTTTTGAGGCCGTTTAATTCCTTTCACACGAGCGCATATATTTCAAGTCTCTAGTCTCTCTTTACGTGCCTAAAACACTCGATTTTGTTCGTTTGGCATGTTTCCACGTTAATTACTACACAAATATTCATGACTATGAGCTAACATACAGTAGTTGTTTATGGTGCTTCTGAATACGTATTCTGACCACTTGAGTTATTAAAATCACTAGATCATTAAATGATTGATAATAATATTATAGCAAGAACTTACTCATTGAAATGTTTTAATTAAATCTTCGAAGAATTGGCTAACATAATTCTCATACCATTACTATAATTGATGGTACAATGAATGAGAAATATTACATACCTTGGATGTCCCATGGCTCCATCTTGTACAGATCAACGTCAACAATAACATCCAGATCGATTTTCAAAGAGTTAATCTTCCTCTTCAGGTAGTACCCAACAAGTTCTTCTTCTGTTGGGTGGAACCTAAACCCTGGTGGAACACAAGATTCCATCTCCATCTCTCTCTCTCTCTCTCCTTCTTTCTTCGATCCATTATGATTGCAACACAAAAAGAAAAGAGAAAAGAGAGAAACAAAGTTAGAAACCCACCACATGTGTGAACAACTATCTTGTCAATAGATTGAATCGGAAGACTTCTGAAAATGGGAAGACAATAATAATCAATCATATCCTATATATCTCGTTCCGATGACAAGCTACAGGATGTCGTTGTATGCAATACGATTCTGCCTTATCTCTATAAATACTCAACAAATTTATAAAATTAAGAAACTCCCTGCGCTTCATCGAGATATTGTTAGTCCGTCATCATGAACCTTCCCTCACTATATCCACCTCTCTATATCAAGACATATAGGTTATACATGATAGCTATTCCTAGCTATATATATATATGCTATCATGATGATCATTAGATTTAGAACTTCCTTTATGGTGGGGTCTAAATGTTTTGTATCCCATGTTTGTGCTACACTCTTGCTACCCAAATCAAAAGAAGTTTTGATGAATTACTATATACTAGCAAAATAGGGTTGATGAAATTAAAAAGGTGGCAAGGCAAGTGGCAACCCTAATGGTGGAAACCCACTAGCTAGGCCAAAATAACCCAATAAAGAAGATAATTTTTTTCTGTTGCTGTTTGAATCCTAGGGTCGACAAAACATGAGAATAGAGACAACATATCATCAACTTAATTAGTGACCTATTAATTAATATTAGGTCTTTGTTGGCTTTGCATGAAGTTTGTTGGTCACAAAAACCAAAAATGGGGGAAATATGTTTAAAAATAGGGAAAAAGGGAAATTTTTGAATTAGCCGAAAAGCTTGACTTTGTTTGTCAAGCAGAAGCATGTTCGATCTGTACAACATGTGTTTCTTTGAGTGCAGTTCACTGCTCCCCACTACTCTCATGTCGTGTCCCTCTTCTTCTTCTTTTGGTCCAACACTAATTTTCACACACCAACCACTATAAACTTCCTCCTCTCTATGGCTCTACCCCAACCCCACAAATACATACATTAATAGTAACCGTATACCTAAATTAAACATTAATGCCATAATTCTATTTATATAATATTGAAACACCAAACATTTTTTTGTCAAAATCTAATATCAAACTCATTTCTCAGATGATTAAACGAATGATCATATTCGTTATGAATTAGAATGTTTATAGTTCTGTGTGTCACTTCTTCGGCGCCATCGTCCTATAGTAAATATAGGTAAAATCACATTCACAATAGTCTAATATCGAAAAATAAATTCCCTCTCCTAACTCAGAACTCATGTCGAGACGACCCACTAACAAAAAGATCTTTCTACAATCAGCTCGTTGTACGTTATTGTTAGCGTGGTAGAATCGAAGAACCAGAGATGAAGAATGAGAAACTATCATTCCAGATCAAAGAATGTCAAAAATCACATAATTCTCTCCCCCTAGCTAGAACAACCTAATTCCACTACAAACCCACATATGATCAAACTCAGCCAGCCACAACGAATAACATGTTTATATGCCACAATCATGATGAAGATAGAATGATGATATATATACTCACTTAAATGGATGGTAACCAGAGCTGTTCCTCTACTCGTTGTGCCGGCTAGCTATGGAGACCACAGAACCAGAAATGAAAGAAGAAGAAGAGATGGTGAATAATAAGTAGTTTGAGAACAGAAAAGACCAAGATGGAGGGAATTGTTTGTATATAATATGGTTGGAAGAGATCAATCGATGGATGTGTGTAGAAACTATAGAAAACAAAGCTTTTTTAATATGTGGGTTTTGGCTTGAACTTAGACCAGACAGCTCATATGGAAGCTTTTGCTTTTCTCTATTCCTCTGTGTTTTGTCTCTCTGTCGATATATATACACAAAGCTGAAGAAGAAGAAGAAGAAGAAGAAGAAGAAGAAAGGAAGAGGAAAAAGGGAAGAGTTGTATAGAGAAGAAGGAAGGGAAGGGTATTGATTGCGCGTGGGGGTGGCAGATAGGAGGCTTTGTGTGTGTTTGTTTGGACGGCGTGTTGCACCAAATTTTCACGCCACCACACCACCACCCTCTATCTCTCTTCTTCTCCACCGCAATTTTGTATCCTAAGTAAAAAATCTATTAGCCCTTTCTTTCTCTCTCTCTCACACAACAGTCCATTTCACAAATCTAAGTGGGGTGTGTCCTTGACAAAAAAAAAATTGTTTTTGTTTATTTTGGTAGGGTTAGTACTTAGTAGGGTTGTTCAGAATCGATTGGTCGCAATAATTTGAACTGAAAAATTATCGGTTCACTTGATCGGTTGATAAGCAGTTGTCATCTGGTAAGATGTGCGAGAGTATGGGGTATGTTCGTCGCTTCAGATGAAAACCAGTAGTTGATCAACTAGGTTTGGAGTTAATTAATTTGTATAGGTCTACTGGGTCTTGTGGAAGTCGATGTAGAGCTGCTCGACGAGCATGGCCTGATGTTTGCACAGTGGTTGAGAGTGTTGGACAAGTTGACAACGACAAAAGGTCTTTCCGACTCCGTTGGTTATTCACAAAAACTACAACTTCGGGGGAAAAATGCATGACGACTGACGTTGAACAGAAAATTACAAAGATAGCGTTTTCCCCCCTAGGTTGTGATAGAAAGTCTTTACACTCTCTTCTTCTTTCTTAGTGTACACTTTCTTTGTAGACTCTCTGGGGACAATTTGTATTTCCCCTTTTAGTATACCCTAATCACTTATATAAAAATAAGTGTGTGTTGTACTAACATCAAATGTTATTAGGGGATTTCCAAATTCATGAATACCTGCAGAATTCAAACACAAAGCTTGTTGTCGATCGTCTATTAAATACTCTCATATTTATGACCAAGTCAAAATGAATTCATCCAAGTAACCACATTGAAAATCCATATGAACTGAAAGACTCAATTACCCTAATTCTTTGAATGTTTGTAGATATACAACAATGAATATTATACAATTGGTGTACATATTCATGAAATATGTGCACCATATATACAGAATAACTATGTGCACAGTATATACTTCTGTTTCGATCAAGCTCTAATATCATGAAGACTTAGACACAACTTTTACTAAACAAACACAAGTATGTTATGTCACGAATAAAATCATTCTAATAACAGAATAACCCGAGTTCTTTTTTTAGGAATGACAAGAATTAAACATATTCAAGATATAACATTATCTTAGAACACCAACTTATAGGAGAGATGGAATGTCATGCATCCTTAATAGACCAAACTCTGTTGAGTTATAGCATTCTCTTTTAGGTTAGGGGTCCCTTCAAGAAAAACATTCTCCTTTTTTCTTTCTTATGTTTGATTTACTCTTTTGTTTTATGAGCTATAGCTAGCTGACGATGTTCCTGTCACACTCACCACATTCCCTCTGGCTCTTCTTAATTTTCTCCAGTTTTGTCTGTTTGGTGCGCCGCCCTTTTCCAGTTGGCACCATTCACCTTCTGCCACCTGGCTCGAGGTTTTTCCTCTGGCTGACTGAATTGTTTGTTACGATCGAACTTCCATTTCCCAATTGGCTAGCCAGCTAGTTGTCTACATCAAACTAGCCAATGATTAATATATCCATGTCCTTTCTTTCTTTCTTTCTGTGCTTCTGGATGGCCTTCCCTTTCCCAAAGCAACATAATTAGTTACATTCAAGCCACTGCCTTCTCTTTCTCCCTGGTTTGATAAGATAATAATCAATCATGTAAGTTGCAAGTGCATGAATTTCCATCGTTGTAAGAACTTGTCAGAAGAGAGAAGGTAATTTAACCAATGTAAAACTTCAAATAGTTGAGTTACTTTCCAAAAACTTTGAGCAAATATATAGGAACTTAATGGGTTCTAATTGTTAAAGTGTTCATATATGTTGGTAGCAATTGAAGAGATGGTGATATAATGTGATTCGATCGTGGATGGTTTTACATCTACGATAAAATGAAGAACTCTAATACGAACTTGTTATATGGTATACGTAAATAATAAACTTTCTGCTTTAAATATCAAAGTATATTATCTCTGTCATGAAACCTCAAAACCTTTTTTTTTGCATTAGTGTACTTTTAACCACTCGAGATGTTATCTACAATAATAGTTTTTTCCCCCAACCCTTCCTCATTTTTAAATTTCCATCTCATATTACAAAGAGTGAACATCGGTCGATTCGGTATCAAATCGAGATAAAATCACACCAATATCAAAACAAAATTGAGGACCATAACCCAACCAAAAGCGTGTTTGATTCATTTTGGTCTGATTCGCTCCGGTCCAGATTCAGTTATGGCATGCTTTTTTCTGTATACTTAAGAACACTTGTAGGATAGGAACCGAATCGAAATATATTTGTTCCGGTTCTATTAAATCCAAATACCAGTTCTATATATACAATTTAGTCCGGTGTAGACAGGATCAAGTTTTTTTATTGTTATCGTACATAAGTGAGATTATAATTTTGTATTGAGGACTCTTCTTTTCTGTTGCAAGACTCTTTTCGAAAGGCTGAACTATATATGCAAGAAACGGAATGGAAGATTTGAGTCTTATTTACCTTTCTTTCCTCATTTGTGATCTTTCGCCATCTTCAACTCAGAGTAGCTAGATAGAGCATGATGAATTGTTCCATAAGAAGAATGTGATGAATTGTGAAAGTTTTTCTGTCTTGCGGTCGAATCAAGAATTGAGGAAAGCAAACGAACGATTGATGAGGATAGATTCAATGTATACCATCACATGTCGTTAGTAAAAAGTTTCTTCTTTTGGTGGTATGAGATATATAGCTAGCTAGCTTGAAGATTACCATATAGGTCGTTCAAAAGCCTTTTTGTGACTCTAGATTCCATCACTCCTATAGCTAGCGATTTACCTTTCACCTTACTCTAGTTCACTATGTATCCTCACATTGAATAATAATGAAAGAGGGTCAAATTCAAAAACAGTGTTTATCATAAACATCCGACTTGACGAGAAAATATTGCATCGCGTCATCACTGGAAAGTTGTAGGAGTAAGAGGTGGCACTGTCGCATCGGGTGATGAGAATGTGGTGGGTTTGTGAATGAGAATTTTTCGTGCATGATAAGTAAGCCAACATTCAAGGGTCGACCAGTAAGCTCTTTCTGGGTATAAGTTAACAAATATTAAGTATTTAGAGAGTTGAGTAGCTAGTAACCTATCGAAGGGATCAAGTGCAAAACGATAATATCTTCAAGATAACCTTGTGCGAGATTTAAATCAGACCTAAGATCTCCCTCTTATGAGTCCATCACGTCAAGTACTTGGACTACTATAATCTTCGTTAATATGATAAAGAGGCTATCAGATTAGCAACTTTTCATAATCAATCGATTAGCAATGATTTCGGGTCATTAAAAATGATAGAGGAAGTACTAGCTTGGTAAACATATTGAGGCCCATTTCTTAGTTAACCGTAGTTAATTAGTAAGGTTTGGGGAGAACCCATTTGTTATTTATGACGGTTTCCCCCATCTTACTTATATCACTAAGCCTTATTAGGGACGGCAAACCGGACACTCAAAACCGCAGTTGTATACAGTATACACTATCCATCGATCCTTTAGAAGAGTTTCCAATATACTAATACGGTGGGGCAAGGCGGTTTTTGGATTTATTATGAAAAGTGCAGGAAGAAAAACATAAACAAACAAATACATAAATACCATTTTATAAAGAGGAAGTTGGTGTCCTTTTTACATCCAAAAAAAGGGATTTTTTGAATATATTATATAATTCATTTTGATCAGAAATTTTTTTTTTTTTATGTCAGGTACATGTTTCATTGTTGTCACTACTTGCATTCTACGTTTTGATATGGTTGGATAGAGTACTATAGCTACAGCCGGAAGCCAATGCCGTTTTTCCTCTTCCTCCCACCAACACTAGAAAATGAACCCTAAACTATATACTAAAATAGAAGACAGAACATAAGGTATTATAATGTTGGTGGTGGTCCTTTAGGAATGGAGTATAGTTGATGTTGTACGTACGTGTATTCCTATTGTCCACTAGCTCTACATATATATTATCATTTGGTACTATGATGTTTAAGATCTAATGTTAATTAGTTGGATAGTTTAGAGGATAACAATTGATAATCATATGGAACCTTGTCGAATTATTTTAGTTGTTGCCTGTTGCAAACCTTAAGGGTTGGCCACTTTGAGTAACTTTGAGTTTAATGACAATTAATAATAATGTGATATGAAAATATCTATTAGATGATGAATGAATTGATTTACACGATAAGTCAAGATATTTTCTTTGTATATGTTTGTCGTATTTATCTCGTGTATATATTATTTTATGTATAGGAATAAGAATGCAATGTGGTCAGGTCGGGTAGGTATCTCAGTATCCATACTCATCATATGACAGATCGAGTCTAGATCGGGTCTCGAGGCATGGGTCGGGCAAGTTATCACATGTGAGTATACAATTTAAAGGGATAAAATTAAGATATTAATATTTTCATTAAAGTTTTGAGAAACCATCGTTTCTATTGACACAATACATGAAGTTAAACTATTAGAGAAATAGAAGATATTAGTGTTATTAGAGAGAAGAAATAAGGTCAGAAAAGCAAAATCATAAATACTTAACTATAATATTGA